GTTTTAAAAGTATCCACAAGGGGGCGATGTTACACTGTGAACCCGAGTGTCACCACTGAACCATTTCTTTTCTTCTTCGTGTAGTTTTGAATTTTAACACGTGCGGGTTTTCAAGTTTTAATTTAGTTGGAACATACAGCGAAATTACAGTTCAAGCTGTATTTATTATTATTGACATAAATGTCACATTTCCGCATAAATAGGAGGAGACTAGAGGGACTGCCCTGCTGCGTGTTACGTTTGGGGAAGTTGCTCAATGTCGGAAAGACCCACTTCACTAAACTGTGAGACAACTTGACATTGTTGTGCTTTCACAGCTACTCGTTGTGTAGCTTAAACAACACTCTGGTGTTGTCTTTTTATGTGAACATGGCGTTCAGATGAACCAAACACCCGTGTTCTGTTAGGAAAATGGATAAGTCGTTGACTTCCGCTACTTACATTCGTAACATTAGTTATGGTTTACGTCGCCAGCTGTCCGACTTTTTGGACTCACAGGACAGGTGGAGAGATGTAATCGTGTCCATACGGAAGCCGAGCGGGGAGCTGAGGTACTCCCAGCATCACGTCAGGTGAGCTGTGATAAACAACCTGGCGAGTTTACAGAGAAACTCTCCAGCAGGGACTCTTTACCCGTCCTCTTTATGTTTCAGGAGATTTGAGGGTCTTGTAGCTCAGGGGAAAAGTCCCACAGTGGAGCTGCTGAATGACTGGGGAACCACCAACTGCACAGTGGGAGAACTGGTGGACATTTTGAAGAGTAACATGTTGCTGGCTGCTGCCAGTTTCCTGCTACCAGGTGAGATGTGACAACAGCATCATCCAAACAGCAGGGAAGCGACTATCCATCAACCATGTATTGATACATTTCAACATAAAAACCTCAGAAAATTAAAACTAACTCGTTATTTTATCATCATGTTCACAGGTAACTCCAGCTTTTTAATATTCTACCCTCTCCCCACTATTAAACAGATCAAACTTTGATGTTTTCATTATAGACTGGTGAACTTCTGCCCATCTACATCCAAAATTAACCTTTCTAAAATTAGCTTTTTACGCCAGTCCCCCCACTATATGACTTCTAATTAACCTAATTACTGTAGTTGCAAATTTAGTTTATTTGCACCACTTTTATTTTGTTTCTTTGCCTCTGTGCTTACCTCTGATTGTAAATTGTACTCGAACTTCAGTCCTGCCAGTTTTATGGGTGATCCTTACAGCTTTTTAATTCAACGATTAATCCTTGAAGACGGTGGACTTTCACAGGTACCGCCCCAAAAACATCTGCACCATCATTCAGATGGAATCAAGTGCAACATGTGAAGCGATTTGTGGTCCAGAAAATGCTTTAGCTATTTCCTGTTCACGTCGTTTCAAATATCAGGGCACAGAAACCTTCACACACGTGATAAAATGATGAATGGTAAAAGCGATCTAAGAGAGCCATCAGATAGCGTTTAATCCTCGCTGTGACACAGTTTCCCATCCTGAGCAGCACAGGAACGCAGCAGAACCGGATTCAGAGTGGACAGCTGTCTGCGTGGACTGGCTGAGGTTAGAGAGGACAGGAAGACACGCTTTTTAACAACCCACCTCTTTTAAGTTTTGTTTTAAAAGTAGACAGAGTTGACAGCCTCACAGACAGTATTATTACTGAGATGCTTCTTAGAATATTACCAGCAGTTCATGAGCTCAAGTGCTGAAATCAGACCTAAACTGCTGGATGATAAAATCATTTTAATGTTTAGAAACAAGTGAACCGTATTAATAGATTTTTTTCTCCCCACTCTAGAGGAGTTTTCATCAGCAGAATCGCAGCAAGTCTCTTCAGTGGAAACATACAGTGAACGTCCAACCAGACTACTGGAAGAGATTAAGGCTCAGCCCCCACCCACAAGTTCCACTCTACAGACACAAGTGCTGCTGGGAAACGATGACCCTGGACTCACTGGGACTGGAGGTGGGCAATTTTACCCTCACTGTTTTTGTTAACTTAACTATCTCAAAAACTACATGTTCCTTTTAACAGGTTCGTGCCGGGTCTTAAAAAGTCTAAAATTTGAAAATTAAAATTTTAGGCCTAAAAAAAAGTCTTAAACACACCCAGATTTTCACCCAAAGGTCTTAAATTTAATTTTGACAGGTCTTAATTTTTTCTACCTTTGATCATTCCTGAGAACCGTTGGCTGCATAAATAAAGTTAAGAGTCGTAATCAGAGGTTGACACGAACTGTCTTCATGAAGTGCTAAGTCTGCTACTGGTCATGATTAAACTACAAATCCCATGATAACTGCAGGCAAAAATGTCACAGTTTACTTCCATGTTTTTGACCTCTTTGCCGCTACAGCCCCCCACATCCAGCGGCTTATTTACCTGCTCAAAAAAACAGAAGTTCAGTCATGTCCACTGCTTGTTGTTTAAACATGGGAAAGTGTTTTCAGTGAGACTTGACTTGATATCAGTGATTTTTTCACTCGGTTGAAAGCGGTTCACAGCAGTCGGATATGACTGTTTCATTCAAATAATATAGTGTTCTTGTATAAAAATTTAATATTCTTTAATAACTAAATTGATAGCAATAAAAGGTTTCTATTATAAAATTTCTGGGACCATTTGAATGTTTCTGTTGATGTGTCGATTTGGTTTTAAATGTCATTACTAATTGTCTTAAAAGGTCTTAAATTTAACTTACTGAAACCTGCATGAACCCTGTTTAAAAAAAGTATTACAATACAAGCATTGTTGTGAAGACGTGGTGAATTGGGAGTGTTAGAAATGGAAGGAGGCCAGTTTCAAGATGTTTTAGACGATGATGCAAAATGAAATAAATTTTTCATGTTTACAGGTTTTTCATAGCAAATACTTTCTTGATTGTGGTTGAACTGTATGTGTGGAAAATACATAACCCTCCCCCCGTTTTTAAAAAGTTGTTTCTTGTTTACTTTCCTTATTTTAATTGGTGTTATTTGTTTTTGTTTGCTTTGCTAATTTTGTACCTCAAAATCGTACTGGATAAAAAAATAGTTTTGAGCATAATTTTATTACTTCTGTTGGTAAAGCTCTGTAAAAAATGTTTGTTTCTATTAGCAACAGTATTTTATATTTAAACAAGTTGTGCCTGTTACTTGTAGAATATGGAAGCGATTGTGTTCCATAATCCTAATTAAAATGGATTAATAGAAATGCTGTTTCATTTTCAACAT